GACAGATGTACAGATGTGTTTAGAACTGCAGGTGGATCTTCAGTGCTTGGGTCGGCTTCCTGACTCATTCAGAGCCTTTGTGAAAGCTCGCGTGCATTGTCTGGAGGATCAAGCCAAGACCCGAGTGCCCAGGAAACTGCCGATGCGTCCTTGGTGAGTTTGTGGAGGAGGGTGCAGCATTGGAGGTTCAGGCTCGACATGATCAGATTTCGTAGCTTTGCGACTCCCTTCTTTTTTGGATTTGGAGGTTCTATGAACAACATCATTGTGCACCGCTGTTCTTGTTTCCATGTCCAAACAAGGCCGTCCCATGTGGCGCAACCACTTGGGGACCTTTTCGTGTCCAGGAGACATAAAATGTTTCACCATTGTCTTAGGGCTGGGCGGGACACAGCACAGTCGCAGGGCCGTCGCCGCAACTCCATGGTCTCGGAAGGCGGGCAGAACCTCCCCGAGGTTCTCCTTTTGCGGGGGGTCTGACTTGCATGTAAGACAAGAAGGCACCAACTAAGCACCCGGCACACCTTCAAATCTGTAGATTTGGCCGGTTGCAGACCCCAGAGTTGCAGTGTCTTAGCCACGGACGCGAGCAGGTACTTCCTCTTCAGGCACCAAAGGCCGTCGTAGGAAGTCATACCGGCATGGCTGATGGGATTGCACCAGCAACAAACCAATGGATTTGAAGAGCTAGGGTCTTCTGATCTTCACATTTTAGAGGGATCCTTAGACGTTTCGCCAGGAATCCCATCACCTTCTCCAGCAGCAGGCCGAATTTGCGACAGTCCTCATTTGAGCATCAGAACCACTCTTGCAGGTTGACAGAAGATCATTTGCTATCCTCGGCAGATGAGCGTGCTTGACACCAAGCATGTCCCCAGTTTTCCTCCTTTGCCACGTGGCTTCACGCGGCTGAGGTGCGAATCGCGTCTACCGGTGCTGTGATTGCCACGGGCCCCTTGGGGCTGGACGAGGCAAAGGCAAACATGTTCTCCAAGATGGTTTCTACCCCCAACCAAACCACAACTCCCAAGAATAGGGTGTTAACCACTTTGTAAAGGGTATACCAACTTCCAGCATATGGGTCGATGGAACTCTGGTCTCCATCCCCCAAGCTTGTGTACACACTGAAGATTGAAGGAGCACAAATCACAGCTTGCTGGAGACATCAAGCTTTGTCGGCCATCGATGCGGCCAGAGTTGGGGCCCCGTGAGGTGTCGATCATTGGAAGGCCCAAGTTTCCAGGAATACACTTCAGCGGGGGACCTCGAGGTGTCAGACAACTTGAGTAAGCAAACTCTTTGGCAGGCGGCAGGGGAACCCCAAAGTGGTTGTGGTGTCAATTTCGATTTTATCAGCTGAGATGCGATCAATGGACTTGCCTCCAAAAAGTTTCTGAGCGCTTCTTTGAGCGCTGTATTGATCCCTGTCACCTCCCTGCTCAACTTTTCCTGTGGGCTTGCAATTCCCCTCTCGGCTGATTTAACTGAAGAAAGGCTGTTTCAACACGAGTCTTCTGGGGTGCTCTATTGGCCCAGAGATTGAGAGGGAGACCCCCCCAGAAACATGTTCAGAGGCACAGACGCCGTTTTGAGTTCTTCTCATTCATTTGCAAGAGTGTGGTTTCATCCGCTAGTAGATGCAAATTCCCCCTACTTCGCCTCCAGTCTCACATCTCCTGATTCTTCAGGCCCAGCACGACCATGGAAGACACAGTTCTTTGGGTGTGGATCAAATTCAATAGTGGGGGTTGCGGGATTCTTGGGATTCCGCAGTTTTCGAGCCACGGCCATGGGGCCGCCCCTTGGCTGTGGGGACGAATGCGCCGCCCGCGTGTTCTCAGGTCGGTGCCTGGGCGACCTGGTGGCCAGGCAGCTGGGGGTGTCTGCGGAGCCCGAGGCGAGCGGCGCCGCGCCATTTCGAGGGACGGAGGTCTCGCCCACGCCAACTCCTTTTTGCGCGAACTCCTTTTAGAAACTTTTGAAGGGAGCCATGGGAGCCAGGGTCCAAGTGTTTTAACATTTGACAAACTTCACAGACCCCGGATGTCAATTAGACCCCTCTCTGCTCGAAGCCCTTGACGCCAAATGTGCCTTGGTCGTTTAACAGCCGTTTAGGTGGCAGGAACGGTCATGGACCCTTGAGAAAAGGGTGGACATTTGGAGAATCATGATAAGGACTTCCAAAACATGCCAGAAAGGGATTCTTCCTTCGGATTGAGAATTAAGGTGGGTTTTTCCTTTTTTGCGCTAAGCCCAAACGTGGGTTCCATTTAATACGGAGTTCGCATGCACTTGGGATGCCGCCAGGTCAATGATCGTCCTGCGGAGCAGTGCAGCTCTCAGACGGCCGGGAATCGAGTCGGAGATTCGGATCCGAGCGGATGGATCGTGGCACGCGGCAACATCCGAGGGTGGTGGGAGACAACCACGTGAAGATCCGATATGCCCTGAACCCAGCAAACGCCTGGCTGACGAAGCGGGACCCACAGCATCATTCCTTCGTATCACTTACTTGCTTCAACTGAACGACGGGTGTTTCTAAACATGCGGGAAAGCCCTAGATACGGGACTCACAGAGTAGTTTCTGTTTGGTTTGCCTTTGCAGCCATCCCAAGGAGGTTCACCATGTTGAGACATAACTGACATAACGTTTGTTCCGAAAGTATGCCTTTTGGTTGGATCCTTTTGTGACCTTTGGGAAGTCAAGGGTCAGGAGTCTTAAACTTTGAACAACCCTCACGTGTGAAACATAACAATTCCCAGAAACATGGTGCACACACGTTTGAGGAACAAACAACATACTGATTTCAGTCCTTAGAAAACCTGGTGATGTTGCGGTCTGTCAGTCCCCAGTGCAGCTTTTTGTTTTGCTGCAATGTGTGCGGATGGTCCCAATGAAACCTCATAATTGGCAACTACCTTGTATTTGCTTGTTATCTTCCATTAGGATTTTGGATGACCTCATTTGGGCTTCAAGCAAGGGTATTTGAAAGTGCTAGCCCAATTTTTGCTGAATCGCAGCCATTGCAAGCTCAGCCACCTCCGCTCTGAAAATTGAGTCCCGCCTTTGAATACAGTTTAGTTTGGATGGCGTTGAAAATGGACATCACAAGTTACGGGAACTTCTCAGGTCATCATGGGCACTGACGGCTTGTGGCAGTTCATGAAGGAGCAGGCGATGCATCCGGTTTCACCGTTTCGCGGCAGTGTTGGCATGTTCTGCTTCAGCCAGGCGGCTGCCGAAGCGGTGACCACCGCAGCCAGAGCGAATGTGGGTATCTCAGTAACTGAGTCTTGACGCTCTCTGCGGCTTGATGTTTACTCCCGTGCAGATTAACATGGAAACTGCTCAAAAGCCATCTCCATGTGACGGACAGGTTCAGTACGCCGCTGGCAGCCTTGTACAGCGAGCCCGTGAGTCTTGGGATGCGCAGGAGATCTCAGATCTCAGACACAGTGAACACGTTGGGACTATGGTCATCACAAACCCAACAAGGTGGGCGTGTACAGCTGGATTCCCTTTTGACAAGTCCAAAGATATGTCAGGGGAAACGCGGCCCCAAAAATGCAGACGAACCCCAGCTCTCGATGCGCAAGCTGAGGCAGCAGGAGCGCCTTTGTGACTTCATTGACGACATTACGACGCTCGGAACGGATTCCCCAGGGCACGGAGGATTTTTATGTGTCGTTTTTCTCTGCTTAGTAAGGGGAAACTGAATCTTAGGTGAAGCCCTTTGGCCCGAAACCGTTAACCGACAGCATGCACTTGCGTGAAGTTGGTTAGGCTAAGGTCAACTTGCGAACGCGGGGACAGCTCCACACTTCCCAATGCATTGCCAGGGTATCGGCTCGGATAAGGCTGATATCAGTTTCAGGGAGCAAATTTGGTTTTCTGGCTCATATCCGACAGCTAACTCGCGCAAGGGCGGCACCTTGATCACCTAACCTCAAAAGTCATAGGCGGGTTGGAGAGACTAGCCGGAGGCGAGGCTTGCAGGACCCGAGAGAGAGGAGAGAGTTTGGTGATTTCTCAGAGACTCACAAGTCAGCCAACATTTCTAGGGCCTTGTTGGGTCTATTTTTTTGGCGAAGCCAGATGTCAGAACGCTCAGGTGTCTCACATTTTGGCTGTGAGCCCACGCTTACGGCCAAAAAATTGGGCGGGCCAAAGGCCAGTGCACTGAGCCACTGAAAAGACAGATTCAAGTAGATACAAGATTGGGGGAGATAATGAATACGTGCAGCAAAGCAAGGAATTCTTCACATGATTTCAGGTTCACCTTTTGGGTACTAGGTCATGATTGCGACCCATTTGACTTGCAGCCTCGACTTGGAACCGGCTTGCTCAACGGGTATGGGAGCATGCCGGACAAGCCAATTGCTCACCGACATTCCCAAAGTTGCCCAAGACACGCATGCTGCACATGCAGATTTGGCCGTTTGCTTCTTACCAATGATCATGGACAGCATGTCGAGATGAAGCAAACACCCGCCCACTGCGCAAACCCTTGACACACCTACAGCGAGGCACGCGTTGCGCCCGTTGAGACGCTGCCATGCCTCGGGGACTGCTTGCTCTTCTGGAGGAGATGCGACTGTAACCGCCAGCGTTTGTCCCACTTGGGGTTCTCCAGGCTCACATCACGCCGTGGCATGGGCTGGGGCCCCGGGTTCGAAGTGACCCGCAGCACACCAGAGACTGAGGCGACCGGCGGACGTGACGGACGTGACGGACGTGTGTGTGACACGGCTCAAGGTGTTAGGTCACCGGACGCTCTCGCAGGGTTTCCATGACGCTCACATTTTGCCCGGGGCCTTAGCGACTGATTCTTCGGGCGATCTTGGGGCAGCAGCTCTTGTCCTTAGACATTTGCTTAGGCCCCAGTGCTCACGGCCGAGACACTCGCAGGCCAGGGCGGTTGGCGAAGCGCCTTGCCGAGTCGCTGTTGCGTCAGGATCACCTGTCCAGCTTCCTCGTAGGCGGGGAAGATGGAAGCATGCCGACTCTGTTCAGATCCGCTTTCTGCAAAGTTGCGAGGGTGACATGCCACGTACTGCAGCGACAGGTGAAGTTCACTTCCATGCGCCGATCGACAACGTGCCAACCCGAGAGGTTTAGAGGGTTTGCGAATTCAACCAGTCGAGATTCTGAGGCTTCAGCGAGTTGGGCACCTGGCATCTCTTGGGATTGGATTGTGGTTCCCCCTCTCGGGGTTGGTTCAATGCGAAACCAAAGGGAAGCACCACGGAAACAGAAATCCAAAGGGACGAAGCACATTTGAGCTTCAGTTTGACAAATCCGTATTCTTTGAGCAATTTGGAGTGGATCGATGCCATCCGCCCAGCTTCGACCTTTACGACCAGCGCAAAGGAGGATGACACGCCGGGCCCCCTGCCATCCCAAAACCCTTTTTGGCTCCCTTCAGTTTGAGCAGCCAAGGCGAGAATTTGATCGACACAACCCCTGTGAGAGGGGCTTCCTCGACTCCCCCTAGTCCGTGTTCAGACGGGTCTTCAAGCCCTTGTTCGGGTTGCCATCAAAAGCCTGCGAACCAGGGGTCAAAAGCAAGCTGGCTGAGAATGAAAGCAAGCGGGTTACAGGCTTTAGTCTTTCCACTTCACCTCGACGCCGATCTGAGGACAAGCCCCTTTGCCTCGAAGCAGGCGCTCGCGCCAGGCTCCGGGTACTGGCCCGAAGCCCAAAGTGCTCGCTTCCAAACTTCCAGACGGGACACAATGCCTCTGGTTTGAGGGGACTGGCCCGAGTCTCGTCTCCTTGTTCCGACAGGTGCTCCACTGGGAGACATGGCCCGGATGAAATGGTGGAAGCAGCCTCAGCGAAGAAACCTGGTGAGCCAGGTTTGGAAGACCGATGCACCGAAAAAGCCAGGTTCCTCTTCGCGAGGATTTGTGTAGCATTTTTGGCTCCAGCTGCATTTGGGTGTACAGAGGGGGTTCCAGTGTCAACATGTCTCCCAGCACGGAAGAGTTGCCAGCCTGGTGCACAGCTCTCATGTTCAAGCTCAACTGCAAGCTGTCGCAGCAGGAGTTTCTGTGGCACTTGCACAGGTGGTGTGGCTATGCCAAGAGCTATCGCCCCTATGACTTTGTGCATCTCCCCTGGTGTAAGCTGGTAGTGGTGAACTTCGTTGATGCCGAGGCTTGTGCTTACTGCTACGCTAAGACCAAGAAGCTTTTGGATTCGGGCGCTGGTTGTGTGGCTGGAGTACGTTCAGCGGCGCAGCATGGACTCAAGAGCAACTTGGCGGACTTCTACTCGAGAGTGCAGAGGACAAGCAAGCGCGTTCCGCTGGTTTTTGGCAACGGGAACAAGGTCGACTTGCTGCAGGCTTGCTGCCAGTTGAATCTTCAGCCTCTTGCCGTCACTGGACAGGTCCAGATTGATGTCGAGCTGAAGGGCCAGCCCAGTCTAGTTCATTTGGACCATCTCGCGGTGTTTCAGAAAGATGCTTGGGCCTGTTTGTGCACGATGAAGGATGTGAGGATTCTGATTGATCTCTGATCTGCAATGCAGTGAATACGGGTAGGATCCTGCAAACGTGCCTTGCATCGAGCGAGTGATTCCCTTTCAAATCTCTTGGCGCTCAGCATTTTTCGCACTTAGCAGAGTTTTCCCCTGGAAGACGTGAAGCCGGATTGATCTCTGAGTCTGTCACCAGTGTACAGGGATTAAATCTTGCTGCATGCTTCAGGGACATGCTTGGAGTGATTACCTTTCAAATCTGTTTGCATGAGCCAGCCAGGCATGAGCCTATAAGGCGGCCTTTATACGGGCCAACACTGCAAACAAGCATTGAACATCGTGTTTCGATGCATTTAGTGGCAGTAATCCTCGGAATATTTGGGGCCTGGCGCGGCAAATCTCGGTGCCCTGGGCGTGCGGACTTGCGCATTTGCTCGCAGCGTTGCTCAAAAAGCGGAAGCTCGCGGGTTTGCGCGAGTTCCCTGCGATGTGTTGTGATTGCTTTTGTGTTGGTCCGGGTTTGAACATGGAGAGGGTGAGCAGAGTGCGCATCCAAGGTCTGGACGGGTGTCATGCACAAGCGCCGGAAGGTTCGGGCTGTGAAGGTGTCCTGGGCGGGGCGCCTGGAGAGCTGTGCACTGGCCAAGACAGAGCCGGGGTTCTACCTAGTTTTAGTATCTTCAGCTTGCCAAGACGTAAATTGAAGGGGCGCTGGTGTGGGCCCTGGAGGAATTTCCCAGCCGAATTGACTTGCATCGATCCCGATTTTCGTTCGGGAGATCTGGTTTTGACCCCAAGACCGACTTCCAGGGGCCTCATAGGGTTCAGCGTAGCGAGGCCTATGCCCCTGGGAAAGTGCGGGTACGTTCCACAGCGGACGGCAAGCACTGGACGACGGCCAGCCCGGGACATGCAGGGTTTGTGCCAACTGCTCAAGTTTCTGGGTAAGGGGAAGCACCGTGGCCGGATGCCAACCAGGGTTGGACCAACCTCTTGTTTTTCTTTGAACATGCTGGTGAGTGGTGACCCCGCAACTCAGGATGATTGATTTTGACTGGATGACTCTAGATACCCTGCTCGTTTGGCTTTCTAGGATACGACCGGTGGAGAGAGTCTTGGGGAATATTTCTACTCTTCAACACGCGCAGCGTCATTGCTTTTCCAGCGTTGCCAATGTGTCTGTTTCGGGGAGCCGATTTTAGAGCCCGTTTGAGTGTGTGAGCTGTCGGATTTTATCGCGGCCTTTGGCTCACAGTATGACCGAGCCACGCTCCGTGTGGGAGGCATACGAGCTGCAGGCAGGGACGAAGCGATAGATCTCCTGTGTTTCCCTTTGGAAAGACTAAGCCTGCAAGCTATAGGACTGATGTAGGTCATTTGGACTAGGTGACTAGGGTGATGAAAATCACAAGGGCGTTTCGGCGTTTCCCTTCAAACCGCTTAAGGGAATGGTTTGGAGGGAAACAGCATGGGGCAGTGACAGGATGGGTCTTTTTTCGCGCTGGTGATTTAGACCTTGTTGGGAGAAGGTCCAACTGCCATCCCAAGATACTTCTGACCGCCGCCTTTTCAAGGCCCTTTTCATATTTTTCTCTCAGTCTCTCAGTGCCTGGGTTCCATGGACTTCCATTCGCGGAGGCCCGGAAGAGCCCAGCTGCGCCGGCCGTATGCATCCCAAATCCTCGAGTGGAGCTGACCTACGCAGCTGTGATCTCCCGGAGCCTCAGTATTGCACGGAGCCTCAAGAAGAGGCGGGAGGAAATGGTGGGTTTCCTATGGGCATGTGGCTGATCACAGAAAAAGTCTCCAGAATGCGCTCCCGGTGAATGTTTATTCAACTTGCGTTTTTTTGCGGTTAGTGTACATACGAAATTGAGAGACCCCCAAAATGGTGGGAAACTCTTGGTTTTCCCTGCCACGCCCCGGAAGGGTTCCCTCACGTCCCGTGTCCGGGGCAAGAGGAAATCCGCGGACTCAGTGCCAGGCACGGCGACCGCGAGCGGGTGGGCATCCTCGTTGGAAGGACGTGCCAAGCGTGTGAGGTTCGGTCATCTATCACTTAATGGAGCAGAACATGCCGCCGCCAAAATGCCGTGAGGGGCTATGGGAACTATCCCCAATGCAATGTGATTGGGGACTTTGAATGGCGGACCATGATGGATAGCTTTAGAAGAACAGATGCAAACCGGCCAGACATTTTGGGCGCGCCAGCTTGCATGGCGAGGACTCATGCAGACTTTCTGCCTCTGTTGCTGGCGGTGGGGCGTCACGGTGCATTTGTTCTGCTGAGCGACTTGGATATCTAGAGTCTAGATCACAAGTGAAGGGAACGAGTTTGAAGCTCTCAAGGCATCGAAGTGGGGGTTTGGGTCTCGTGAAGAATTTTCTGATTGTCTTTGCTTCTGGCTCAACAGTGCCAGAAACGATACAGCCAGGTGGGCTGTCATGTCCAGAATTCAATGATCAATTTGTGCGGGACATGACCATTTACCAAAAGCAGGAACCGGACACCTAAGACAAGGCGGCTATTCGGTTGAGTGTCCTTCTCACAACCGTCAGCGCGGTTCAAAAAGCTTTGATGCCAGTCACATACTTTGGTTCATCAGCTGTCGAGCAACTTGCGCCTGCAATACTTCGCGTGCTGCATGTCTTTACCTTCTGAAACTTTGACCCTGACCCCGGCCGTTCCTTCTAAACCCGGCACAGAGTAAAAACAGCCTTGTTGCTCGAGGACATACTCATCCACTGAGGTGTCTCCTTAGGCTACGGGCGTAGGGGTACACCTCAACATATGGAATCTCTTTGGTCTTTGAAGGGGAGCCAACAAGAAAGCCAAGAGTTTCGAGGTCCAATGTTCTCGGGCCAATGTTACCCTAGGCACAGACCTTCCGGACAAAGAGCAGCAGCGCGAGCGCAATCAATATTTGCTGGACACGCTGCAGCTGAGCCTCGTGGCCGGGGGAGTTTTCGCATGCGTGCAAAGACGCGAAGCTGGGTTCTTTGTGGACATGACCTGCAGTTCTGGCATTCAACAGGCTCATGTCCGATACCGAATAGCCCCTTTGCTCGTGAAGGGGGGGGTGTCCCTTCACAGAAGTCCACCGGCGCCTTTTTTCTGCCGGCCAGGTGGTGGAAGCGAGGGAGAGCTTCACAGACCTCTGTCTGACAGTGCCTTCGAGAGGATCTGAGTGAACCGGGTTTTCAAGGGTTGATTCCTTGTCCTTTCTCACCCATTCTTCTCCCCCTGCGTTTTGGCCAGTTTTTGAGAAGGATCGCTGCACAATACTGCTAGGCCATTAAGTTACACCGAAATCAAGCAACTCACATAGCCAGTTCGCATTCCTTTCTGATGCTTTTGCATCAGGTTTCTTCCTAGCCCAGAAAAATGTGTCAAACCCCGAACCCCCTTTCCCCTTGTCAGGTCCATTCGAAGCCCTTTTATTTGAGGGCGGCTGGTGTGCCATGACCTTCTGCTCTTTGAGTTATTGTCTTCCGTTGCTCTTTCAGGGGGCTTTGACAAATATTGGCCGGGCTTGCAGGATCATTAGGAGTCCCTTCGCTGAGCCTCTCAGCTGGGGTCTCAATCGATCTGCCTTCGAATGCAATAGCCTTAGGCGGCCTGGGCTCCCTTGGCTGAGCTAAGCGAAGAGGAAGGCGGGATGGACCCAAGGTGCTCTGCATGACTTCAAGCACGGCGGGCGTTCTGAGCGAGTCTCCAAGCCTTCCAGTCGCGAGGCGAGTGTCTGGGGGAAGACAATTTCGACCCGGACGCGGTCTTGTCCTTCATGTGCACCGGTGGCAGTGCCCCACTTGCACCGAAAAGTCAGCCCACTTTGTCAGCGAGTCGGAGCGGCAGTTTGGTTTGTGCCGGGTTTTTCTGGCGTCAAAGGTGGGCATGTTTTTGTTTGTTTGTTGGCTTTTCAGGGAGACCCGAACCGCGCAACCCGAGTTGGTGTCTGGCAAGTTGAGATCCATTTTTTGAAGTGGAAATCCGAATGGGAAACAGCTTGACCGTGCGACCGAGGTCAACACCTGAAGATTGCCAAGGTGACCCACCGCATGATGCTGCACGAGAGACGAAGCTCGCCAGAGTCTGGGGGAGGAAGCCACAAATCCGGTCCAGCTCTTCCTTCCGGGAGGGAATTTGTGATCCATGCAAATGCGACTCAGCGAGCCTTTTCTCAGGCGCATACCCGGCGCTATGCCAGATCAGTGGCGTGCGTCTCCTCCAGAACCTCCGAAGCTTTTGGCCGGCGGCAGTGGTGGGCCAGCTGCGCGGCGGAATGGCTCAGACTCCTCAAGTTGGGCAGTGCCACGGGGCATGTACGGAACCATCAGCTTTTTTGTGTGAGTTGGATGTGATGTTCATTGCCCAGGCTGAGCCTTGCACTGGCCCTGGAGGGCTGCGCTGTGATCTGCAGCTGCGATGTCACGCAGATGCGCCAGCTGGCGCCGCGGCCGAAGGCTACAGGCCAGATGCGCCGCAAAGGCGGAATCGGCATCTTTGTCGAGGTACCCCCACATGGACGCCTAGGGAAATGGTCCTTTCAGGAACTCCGCAGGGCGCTACTGGGAGGGCATAAACAAAACAAGCGGCACACTGGAGAGTGAGCCCTAGGTCTTGGACGAGAACGTGGACGTACTTGGCCTTGTGCCAGACCAGCTCAGCTTGCTGGCCGAGGCGCTTGGTCGGGTCAAGAAGCTGATGCAGAAGTAGGTGTTTCCGAGCACTGGCTGTTTCCGTTTTGTTTTCGGAGGCACCAACTTGCCAGTAACCAGCGAGGTTTTGCACCCAAATGCATGGCTTCTCTCATTGGGTCCTTCACAGGACGTGGGACAAATCGGGAAACTTCAAAGTAAGCGTTTGCTGGGTCTGGTGGAGCCTGCCCGTCCCCCGCCTCCTTCGCCTCTTTCCATCCCTTTCACGTTTTAGATAGACATCTTGTCAGCAGCTTCTGAGGACCCAAGAAGCACAACTTCAGCCCAAGAAAGCCACTCGTTTTCGAACGCGTGACCCCCCAACCCCCAACCCCAACCCCCAAGCCCAGGCAATCCCCAGCCTGCCTTTCACCCACCTCCTTCGTTTTTCTCTGCAGGACGCCTCAGCTCTGCCCCAGCTGCGCCTGGTGATCTCCTGGGCAGAGCGCCTGCCGCTGCACTTGGCCCAGAAGTGGCGCGGCGTGCGGATCCTGGAGCTGCTCATCGCCACGGAGAACCTCAGACGTCAAGCGAAAAGAGAGAGAGGGAGAAAAGCGGGCAATCAACACCGACTTCATAGCGGGAATCCGCCTTCCGATGCTTTCGGGGTCGATGCCAGGTTTTGGCTCAGGTGAGTTCAGGGTCCCCTTTGCGACACATTTGAGGTTCGGTCAACATCTATATGTCCTCTTGGGCGAGCAAGTTTGGCAGTGGCTCACTTGTGAACTCAGGGACCCCCAAGATTGTGGTTCGCCTCATTTGCCTCTTTGTATCCCTTTAAGCCAAGGTACCAGCAAAAAAAATGGGCTAACGAGCTGATTCGGAGGGATTTGTGTGTGTGTGTAGATGAGGTGGTCGTTGGATGTATCATTTGTGGTACGATGAGGTCCGTTCAACCCCCGAGGGAAGCATCCTTGCGAATGGGCTTAACTTCGGGCCCGGTTTTCAGTTGCATCAAAAGAAAGGGTCAGTTGACCCCCCCAAACATGGGGCTGTTATATTGGCTCTCCACAGTTTAGGGTTGCGGGGCCTTAGGAGGTGAAAATCCTGGTTTCTCTGTCGCGACAAACAACCTGCCAAGCTTTTCATTTGCAGCCCTTCTTGCCGGGCAAGGGTTCAGACATTTTGCTTTGTGAGTTGGGCCTTGATGGTTTCACGGTCCAACAGATGCACATTTTGAGGAGGAACTCAATGCGGACAGAAGCAGCATCCTTCAAAGCTGGGTGCAAACTTGAAGCTCCCCCTATCTGAATCCAGGCAAGCAATAGTCCTGAGGAGCTCTTTTGCACATCAGGTACTGGCTCTCCTTTGCAGGCGACCCATTGAAGCCAGAGCGCATTGGTGAAGACCGACACTTGGCATCGAAGCTGGAGCTGCTCTTTCACCCTGAGTTATGGCTTGCCAGGGGCGTTCAGCCCTTTGAACGGCTTCCACTGGCATGAGCATGGCTCAGCTTGCGGACGCGCCTTCCGTCAGGATGGACCGTGTTCTATCCGGTCTCCGATGTCGGCTTTGTGGTTCTCGATGAGGCCCTCGAGTTTGGCCGACAATCCTCCCCCAACTGGCACCAACTTTGACCTTTGTACTGGTGCCTCGGGTGCGCCTGAAGCTTCCCTGAGCCTCGGGCTTGCCCGCTTCCCCGTGCCAGGGCAAACGCGTCCAGGAGGGCTTGGGCGAGCTTTGCCTGCGCGGGCCAATGGTCTCACCAGGCCCGAGTCACCAGCAAATGCGAAACGCAACGAGGGAAGCACAGATGCATTGAAACCCACAGTATTTCTTCCCCAAGCCTACCAACAAACATGGAACTAGAGGGACACATATCAATGTGAGTATGAATATAAATATAAGTATATATATTTATATACATACACCACATGTATATATCCATTCTGCGTTGTCAATGCATATCCATAATGCATGCATGCATGCATGCATGCATCCGATGCCCAGCCTTCGTGCCCGAGTCGGTTGAGGCTACGTCGCCGGGGAGGCCTTTCTGGACTTCGAGGGCCAGCGATACTTCCGCACCCACGACTTGGTGCAGCTGCTGCCCGGAGGCGGGAAAGTGGAGAAGCAACTGATAGGCCGGTCCGAGAGCGCAAGTCGTGTTGTGAGGGGAAAGATGAGACCACCTGACCGCCCCCTCTGTTTTTGAGAAGCGTGTTCTTGCTCCTTTCTTGACCAAGCCGGCCCCAATCGCGTGGCGCTCACGCGGCTTGCGCGTAGGCCGTGGCCGTCCCCCTTGCGCCTGTGTTTCCGCCAGGTGGCTTCATCTACCGGGGCCGCGGCGATCGGTGGTCCAAGGTCAAGGGCCAATGGGTCGATCTCAATGCCCTGGAGCACACGCTCCAGGACACCGCCCCTCGCTCGCTTTCAGCGGACGGATGCAGACGGATTGGGTGTGCTGTCCAAGTTTGCTGCATATTGGTTGGACATGGACCCTTTTGGACAGCAATTTGTGTCCAACCGTGTTTGAGGGAGTTCCATCCACTGAACATAGACCTACACTCTGATTGGCCTGGTGAGGCCACGCCCCCCTCTCCTCCACCTTGAACTTTTCCTGTTGGTTTTGAAGGCAATCACAGGCAACCCCCTTTCTGGTCTGTCTGATTTTTGGGGCAAATCCAATGGAATCCGGTTTCCAGAGGGTTTTCTCCTAACAAAAATAACTTTAAGCCAGCCCTCTGCTTGGCGCCAACTGCGGGGATTTCAATCTGGAATTTTATCTGCGAGCTGAGGAGGGGGTGAAAGAGGCGTGTCTGGTGGAGTCGGACCTGGTGCACGCCTTTGTGAGCCTCGATGAGACTTTGTCTTTGCCGGTGCGGAGGCTCAAGGATCTTCTGCCCTGGAGGCGTGCGGATTGCGGGTGGCGAGCATGGGCAAATTGTTTGTAGATTTGGGGCGCGAGGTGAAAAGACACGGGTATCTCTGGTTCGAAGCCCTTAGGCACGCGGGAACTCAAAGGACATCACCTGGGGACACACCCATTTTGCATTTGCCCAAATGGCCACACAAGCCGACGCTTGCGAAGAAACAACGGCACTGTGACGCTGGGGTGGATGTGGGCGGTTTGGGGTAGGGAGTGCCCAGAAACTTTGGCCGGCAACCCAAAAAGGCCTCAAAGCCAGGAGCTATCTTCACGTGCTGCCAGTCTTGCCTCGCACCGCCACCGGCAAGGTGAACGTCAAGTCCTTGCAGGCGCGTTATATATATATAATATTAAGATAGGTAACATATAGAGGAACACTTATGTGTCTAAAATTTGAAGCATATACAACATCGATAGCATTATTGTCGTTTGTTTGTTTATTTCTACATGTTACGGTTATGGTTTTTGTATATCTTCATTTTGAAGCTCACAATTATTTGAGCGTCGACTTGTGGCTTCCCCGCCTTGCCCAACAGCTTGCGCTGAGGGGTCTGCTTAAGTGGGGCAGACCCACTCACGTGACCAGGGCGAGACCTACAAGTCATAGGGTGTTTTGCGCACAAAAGTTGCGGCAATCAATTTCCTCTGGGTTTTGTTTTCCTCGCACTCGAGGCCAGGCTGGAGCGGCCATCAAGCGCTCGGGTTTCGTCGCGGAGGCAGCGCCTGCGCCAGACCTGGCTGCAGCACGGCAGCCTGGCGCTGGCTGCGGCGCTGGTGTCCTTTTTCGGGGAGGCCGCAACCACCTCGATTTGGCTCCCCAGTTCCAACCAGTGTGTTCTTTGCTCCGTGGGTTTGCTTTCCAGGTTCAAGACGAGCCTATCCATTTTGTGGGTTCTCCGAATTTGACACCCGGCATACCCACCAGTCACCTGCTTCTCTTCTTAGATTCTTTCTTTGTGTTTGTTCTTTGAAGAAAAAGAGAGCAAACTCAAAGACATTTTGCAAACATTTGTTTAGCACGACCTGTTGGGAGTTCGGAGCGCCCAAGGCTCGGGTTCCTGGGCCCTTGCAGCCTGGCCTACGGCTGGCTGGGCTTGGCGCACCTCAGCGTCCGGAAGCTGCCCGACTTGGGCTTCACGAGGAGAGCGGCCAGGGCCCAAAACAGACCCAGACCCCTCACTGCATGGGGTGGGGTCGGTTTTTGTTTTTGGTTATTTGCGGGACTTCCTTTCGTGAGAGCCCGGTGAATTGCAAAGGACAAATTGGATTGCACTAGGCAGCCATGTCTTGTCTAGTTTGTGGGCATTCCGCGTTTTCGCGCTTGTATGACATGATCATTTTGCATGAATTTGGAGGTACTCGGATGTTTCCATTTGGCTTGCCTTTGAAGACCCAACGATAATGGTGCCTAAAGAAGGACACATCCTTTGGGCCTGTCTTTGTCTGTCTTTGTTTGATGGCACCTTTTTGGGATCGAGGAGTGGTTTTGTTTTGGTACTAGCTCGCTCCGGTTGGGTAACCTCGGTTACTTGGCTGGTTGGTTGGTTGGTTGGCTGGCTGGCTGGGTGGGTTGGGTTGGTTGCTCCCCCGCATCCCCGGCATCACCGGTCGGTCTTGCTTGGACCAAGGGCTGCCTATTTGAGAGTTGCTCAGGGTTGGTTTAGGGTAGGTTGTGGGCTGGCTGAGATGTTAAAGAGGGTGGGTGTTGGGTTGTTTCGAGGTTCGTTGAGGCTCGGCAAAGCTGTTGGGCGGGCTTAGGATTGACTTCGGTGGATTTTGGGTTGGCTTGGAGCTTCTTGGTTCTAGGAGTGCTTCTGAGGTTGCTTTAGCGTGTCGATGTCGGAGAGGTTCGCCTCCTGAACCATAGACTTGCTTTTTACTACCCCCCAAACCACTTTCAGGGGAAACCATCAAGGTGTGTTTCTTTCCGAGATTCCTTTTTGGGTCGCTAAATTGGCCACCGGGAGACCACTTGGAAACACTGGTGCCGGCGGGAGGATGTCGGGCTTGCTGGCGCTGCACGCCTTGCCTTTCCGCTGGGCGCGGCAGCTCCGAGCGCTGCTGGCGCTGTATGGGCTGCAAAGGGCGCTGAGCAGGCGAAGGCTGTCCTGGCCGCTGGCGCCGTGGACCCAAACCTGCGAGTTGTCCCGGGCAGCTTGTTTGAGGGATGGATCCGTGTTTTTTTTTTTTTTTTTTTTTTTTTTTTTTAGAACTTGTAAAAGCAAACCATCCGATTGTTCTCGGGTCCAAATCCCGATTTTGACACATATTCATGGCGACCGCGGATGAATGAACCTCTGGTGGATTAGTGGGGTCCCATTGAAGAGGGGATCCTTCGGCATGACACAAGTTGGTTCCCCAACCATCCCCGCCAAACAAGGCATGCTTGAATATGGGCGCTTCGGTCCCTCTTTGCAGTGGTCAATGTTGATCGGACTCCTTTCGGCGGGGTGATGTTTGAAAGCGGTATACAAGAATTGGCAGAAACCACGGCCCCCCCAAAAAGTCACATGGTGGGTATGAATTTCAAGCTGGAGTCGCTAGAATTTGCATCACTTGGGATTGCCAGGTCCAACTCTTTGAAGGTCGGAGCCTTGTGAAAGCAAACATAAAAAAAATCACGTCCTTGGAAGGGGTCCTATTCCCTGCTCCTTGGGGGAACTGTGCAAAACTTGGGGAAGCAGCCTTTTGTCATTGCCGTCGTTACTTGAGAATTTGCAGCTTTTGTCGTGGTCCTTGGGCCTCAACAGAATTGATCGGGCCTTCAGCTGCCGAAGCGCTTCCACATGCGGACCTTGATTCAGAGAGAGGGGTGCGCACGGGCTGAGTGCCGGGCCATGAATGTTTTTGAACCCATAGAGGTGCAACGAAGCTGCAATGGCGAGCCCAGGTGTAGATGGAGTGACCCTATGGTTTCCCAACAATGCTTGAGATGGTCTGAAGGCTTTGTTCCGCTTGCAGACAGAGAGAATCAATTCCGATCTTGCTTCGCATGCCTCGCACTGACGTATTCCCAAGGCCAACTTTTGGCGTTCGATGTTACTCAGCGCAGTGTTGCTTGCACTCGAGCTTCCTTGAGTGGGTAAATCTTTCAATCCCGGGCATCGGTGGCATGATGCTACATGGATGGGCCAAGGGCTGTGTGCCACGAGAGGGTCCACTGTCGAAGATTGATCGATTCTCGCTGAGTTCTCTTTGGCAAGGTGTTCTGGCTGGGTTCTGGCACCCAGCTCCACCTGGAATGCGTGCGCGCTCGCGGCAGCCTCTTGATGGGCTTGCTGAGGCGGGCAGGCTTTCAGACTGCGCGCGCCAAATGGAACTCATCCCATTTGAGCAAGGCAGTTGGGCTACACGGTGGATGGTGTGGACGAGGCCGGAATGTGCGCATCGCTTCTTGTGGAACCCTGGAACCCGCTGGCTTGACACCCGCTCGCTTCTTTTATGGCTAAGGTTGTGAAGCTTCTTCTGGGGCAGCTGAGGGGACTCTTTTCCCGGCGGCGCAACTGGAACTCTGGAAGGAGGGGTGCGCCGTGGGAGCCGTCGAGGACTATTGGCACCCAATGGGAAGAGCCGCGTGGAAGCATTTTTGTCGAAAGCCAACGCCACTGTAGTCGCTTTGAAGCTTCTGAAGGCATCCCATGGATGAGAAGGACGTGCTGCAGAGCGATCTATGGACTGCAGAATCCGTCTTGGCCAGTACAGCTGCTTGCCTTGTGTTCCCGCCTTTGGACGAGCGAATTGATGCTGTCCCCAATTTCTCGGACTTTGATCCTCTGGATTCGCGCGTGACGAGTTTGTGAGGAGACGACTCTTCCAAGTTGGCCCTGCGAAACGGAGGAGAGCGCCCGGGTGGAACTTTCGCAGCGCTCCATCGCATCTCAGCCGCGTTCGGCATTGCAACCAAATAGCGCTTTTCATTTGAGTCCTTGACTTCAGGGAACTGCACAGGTTTCGCAAGTTCTGCTTGATAATTTCCCCAACAGGAACATATGCTCCTTTTCTGCTGTTGGGGGGGTGGTTCCCGGCGGGCCAATCTTAGGATTGGGCTTTAGAGAACTTCCCATCCCCCAAGCCCTGGGATGAGTCCATGAGCTTCCTGCGGTGCTGAGCTCAGTGCGGTGTCCTTGATGTTTTTGCTTCGAGGCTGTTTTGGTTGTCGGGGCCATGGGCACCCTGAACAGGCATGTGATTCCTGAGACGGACCCGGACGCATCATTGGCAAGTCTGGATAGCCTCCGCGCTTGGCTCTCAGAGTGGATTTTGGTGGATTTTGGTGGCTTTTGGACCTGTGCGGACATACGCAAGACATGAGCTGCTCACCTTCAGACCCTGCCCCTCACGGTCACGGAAGCTGGCAGGGCTGTTGGAAGACTGCACTCTTGAAATGGCCCTTAGGGTTACCCTTCTAACATTCTCAAGTATGAGAGCGCTTGTATTCAGATGCGCGGTGTGCAAGTCTGAGGTGAGCTTCATCGCGAGTGCGCTGCAGGCCCAGGGTCATATGGTGAGCGGAGAAGAGGCGACTCGTCTCCCACTCGCAAGGTTCAGATGCTCCCACGGATTCAGTCTTTCTTTTCGCCAAGGGAACCTTGAAAAAGTGTGGCTTTGTACAAGAGCGCCCACAGGACACCATTGGGTCCATATTGGTCTGCATTTTGTTTTAACATGGAATGAATCAATGGCTGATTCGGACGATTTAGGTGTGCGGCCCAAACAGATCAACTCTAATTTGTGGTTTTAAAGCTGAATACACAGCCCTTGTATCTTTCCAGAGGAACCAGCATGTGCGGCTCGAGGTGCGCCAGGCGCGGTCCCTCCGTGCGTTGGTCGCCCAGCTGGGTGCCGCGAAAGCCGCGCCGCGCGTGGCCGCCGCCTCCAGGATGCCGGCGCCGAAGTCGGAGACGCTCGGCGCATGGCGCGGGTTAAGAGAACCTCCGTCTCAACACGTTCAACACGTTCAACACGGTAGGCCTTCCAACTGGTTTTCGGCCTCGTTTGGGATTGGCCGGTGGTTTGGTGGTAGCTGATTTCCCATTCCTCAACAAGAGCCAGGAATCGGTTCAAATCCAAATCCAAGCCACCAAGCCAATCCACCAATGAGGGTTACCTGATTTTGGGTGAGGCGCTGAAAGGGAGAACAAGACAGGACCTTTGTCAGGGGTGACCGGGGTGCTGTCTCAAGGTCAGTATGCATTCAGTCGACCACATGGCATTCAGCAGCGTCGTTTCTTCAAAGAGTTTGTTGCCGAGAATCCCCATCCCTTTATTCCGGGCTGATTGCAAACTAGGAGAGGCGTACTTGGAAAGAGGGAAGGCGATTTCATGGAGAGGCACATTGCGCATGGGGCACGTGCAGAGTGACAAGCTGCTAATCCCAGTCTCCGCCGAGGTATGCGATCTGGTTCACTCCTGGCCAGATGAATCCGATGCACCTTCGCTCATGCTGGCGCTGTCGTTCCCCATTTTGTTCTGGGCCAATTTGCAAGTGTGTTTGGGAGAGCTGCTCTGCTTCTATGTTTTTTTGTTTCTTTGTTTGTTTGTTTGTTGTTTTCTTTCGTTCTTTCTTTCGTTCATTGATTATTTTTTTCTTTCTTTCTTTCTTACCTTCTTTCTAGCAAATGCACGCCAAGTTAAATGCTAGTCTCCCCTCAGGTCGGAACGAGAATGCGGTTGAAGGGCTAAGACTCCACGTTGAAAGGAGTTGTGACCCTCGAAACTGAGCAAGGCTATGGCATTGGCTCCATTTTTATTTCTTCCTTCCTTCCTCCCCTTCCCTCCCTCAGACAAAATGTGGCCATTGGTGTTGTCCGCTTAGGGGTCCCTGGCTATGCCGCAGCCGGCGCGTTGTGGTCAAATCCGCGCTCCAGCGCGCGCTCACGCAGCTCCGTGCGCGGCATGTGGCGCTGCGGGCGGCGTCCGCGGACCCCGTGCCGCTGCGCTCCTTCATGC